GTCTGGTGAGGCCCACAATACTGCATTTCTAATGAGTTTCCAGGTGATGCTCATTGCTGATCATGGACCACACTTTGGTAAAAGACCCTATAGTCCAGCCTCCCCGGCCCTCCAAGAAGCCATCCTTCCCATTCATCCCACTCTGACTATTTCGGGCTTGGGTCTCCAGCACACATGGACCACTCCCTTCAACAAACTGCTTACCTAATCCCCCCCCCCCCCCCGGCCCAAGATTGAGCCACACCTTTATCAGAAACTTTCCCTTTTCAGATAAAGCACCCCATAGGACTTAGAAATCAAAGGCTGGATCCTTCTGTCCTTTGGCAAGGGTGTCATTGATCTCTAAAACTCAGAGCCCTGGCAAAGGGAAGAAAGAAACTCCACTGGCGCTGCTAGTAACAAGACTGAGTTGATATCTCAATGAACCATCCAGTTACCATGGGAACAGCCCACTCCCTGGAAGGCAGGGGACAGGATATGGTCCTGGAGATGGGTCTTTGTCTCCCCTGCAACCACACATGTCTTCTGCCACTTAAAATTCTTGCTCACTTTACTTTTGTGGGTTCTGAAAATCCTGGTTTTTCTACTTTTAACCAACAGACTTGGGCAGAGGAAGACAGACCACTGTTTTGACAGTGGTCAGAAACCTAGCATGTAGGGACTCCCTTGGTGGTCCAGCGGTTAAGACTCCACCTTGCAAGGCAGGGGAAATGGGTTCGACCCCTGGTCAGGGAACTAAGATCCACATTCCAGACAGCAACTAAGCCCATGTGACCCAACTGGAGAGTCTGTGCACAACTAAAACCTGATGCAGCCAAGTAAACATACACAAGCATATTTTTTAAAAAGCAAAGAAGCCAGCATGTAAATCACACCACAGGGCCTGATATCAAGCAGGACTGATAGAAACCCAGCCTCCAGGGCAGCCTTGCCAGTCCTAAGAACTTATGGCCAGGAATCCATTATGATTGGCTGGTTTATTTGTTAAATGCTTAGAGTTTAACAGGTGCCTTGGGAGACACCTTTGCAAGCATGAGTTTGGGCTTCCCACTCTCATTTTTTCTCCCTGTGATCATCCAATAAATTACAATATTAATTCAACAAGAATACAAGAACACATTACAAATATTGGTTTTTAAGAGTCTAACTCCTTGATGACTGTGGCTTTGTAGTATAGTCAGAAGTCAGGCAGGTTGATTCCTCCAGTTCCATTCTTCTTTCTCAAGATTACTTTGGCTATTCGAGGTTTTTTGTATTTCCATACAAATTGTGAAATTATTTGTTCTAGTTCTGTGAAAAATATCGTTGGTAGCTTGATATGAATTGCATTGGATCTATAGATTGCTTTGGGTAGTATAGCCATTTTGACAATATTGATTCTTCCAATCCATGAACACGGTATATTTCTCCATCTGTTTGTGTCCTCTTTGATTTCTTTCATCAGTGTTTTATAGTTTTCTATGTATAGGTCTTTTGTTTCTTTAGGTAGATATACTCCTAAGTATTTTATTCTTTTTGTTGCAATGGTGAATGGTATTGTTTCCTTAATTTCTCTTTCTGTTTTCTCATTGTTAGTGTATAGGAATGCAAGAGATTTCTGTGTGTTAATTTTATATCCTGCAACTTTACTGTATTCGTTGATTAGCTCTAGTAATTTTCTGGTAGAGTCTTTAGGGTTTTCTATGTGGAGGATCATGTCATCTGCGAACAGCAAGCGTTTCACTTCTTCTTTTCCTATCTGGATTCCTTTTACTTCTATGGAGAACAGTGTGGAGATTTCTTAAAAAACTGGAAGTAGAACTGCCATATGACCCAGCAATCTCACTTCTGGGCATACACACTGAGGAAACCAGATCTGAAAGAGACACATGCACCCCAGTGTTCATCACAACACTGTTTATAATAGCCAGGACATGGAAGCAACCTAGATGCCCATCAGCAGACGAATGGATAAAGAAGCTGTGGTACATATACACCATGGAATATTACTCAGCCATTAAAAAGAATTCATTTGAATCAGTTCTAATGAGATGGATGAAACTGGAGCCCATTATACAGAGTGAAGTAAGCCAGAAAGATAAAGACCAATACAGTATACTAACGCATATATATGGAATTTAAAAAGATGGTAACAATAACCCTATATGTAAAACAGAAAAAGAGACACAGATGTACAGAACAGAATTTTGGACTCTGTGGGAGAAGGTGAGGGTGGGATGTTTCGAGAGATCAGCATCAAAACATGTATATTATCTAGGGTGAAACAGATCACCAGCCCAGGCTGGATGCACGAGACAAGTGCTCGGGCCTGGTGCACTGGGAAGACCCAGAGGAATTGGGTAGAGAGGGAGGTGGGAGGGGGGACCGGGATGGGGAATACATGTAAATCCATGGTTGATTCATGTCAATGTATGACAAAAACCACTACAATATTGTAAAGTAATTAGCCTCCAACTAATAAAAATAAATGAAAAAAAAAAAGAATCTAACTCCTGTGTGGGGTGAAGTGTCCTTCTGTAACAGTCCTTCTGCAGCTGGCCAGCAGGTTTATTCTACCAAAACATTTTTTGTTGTTCAGTTGCTCAGTCATGTCTGACACTTTGCGACCCTGTGGACTGCAGCATGCCAGGCTTCCCTGTCCTTCACTATCTCCCAGAGTTTGCTCAAACTTGTGTCTACTGAATCCGTGATGCCATCCAACTATCTCATCCTCTGTCGCCCCCTTCTCCTCTGCCCTCAATCTTTCTCAGCATCAGGACCTTTTCCGCTGCATAGAATTGATTCTTTGCATCATCAAGTGGCCAAAGTGTTGGAGCTTCAGCTTCAGCATCAGTCCTTCCAATGAATATTCAGGACTGATTTCCTTTAGGATGGACTGGCTTGATCTCCTTGCCGTCTAAGGGACTCTCAAGAGTCACCTCCAGCACCACAGTTGGAAAGCATCAGTTCTCCGACCCTCAGCATTCTTTATGGTCCAGCTCTCACAACTGTGCATGACTATTGGAAAGAGCAAAATGTTAGGGGGAGTTTATCCTCACAGGATGATAAGTGTCGATTATTAAAAAATAATTACTACCTAAGAGTTAAGAGTTATGTTTTATTTGGTGGGACTTTTTAGGACCTTTTTAGGGACTTTTTAGGGAACAGCATCTCAAGTGACCCTGAAAGAACTGCTCCAAGGAAGCAAAGGGAGGAGCGAAGTTATATAGAAGTTTTACAACAAAGGGCAGACGGCCTGAACATCGAGAGATTATTGTTAATTAAAGGAAAACAGATATATCAAGTTAAGGAATTTAGTGCTTTTCTTTGTGTGGGAAGATGCGAGAGTGTGGGCTCACTGCAATCATTCCTCTTATATGTATCTCAGCTATCTGGGACCAGCATCTTGTGTTTTTTCACATCCTGAGTTCCCTTGGGCTCACCAGAGGGAGTGATTGCAATCTGATGGGTACTCTATTTCTCAATAGTGATGCTGGGTTCATGCCAGGAGACCCAGTGATGATCTCTTGAAGATGAGGGAGGTGTGGGAAAATGTTGATATAGGATCAGGCTAAAGGCAAGATCCTCAAATAGCTAAGGGTGCTTTTGTTTCTTCAGGCTCTATTTTTCTCCTGCTCCCCTTCCCCACTTCCCTTCCTCTCCTAATAAGCTAACCCATCAAAACAGATTCCTGGCCATCAATTCTTGGGACTAGGAAGGACACCCTGCAGGCTGGGTTTCCATCAGCCTTGCTTGGGGCCTGGAGGTGTGACTTAGATGGGACTTGTAGTTCCTCAGTGATGAGCTGTATGTTAGGGGCACGTGATGGCGCACAGAGCCTGCTGGCATCATTATCACCTTGCAGGTGACCTTGCGGGTCAAGTGGAATAACAGGTGAGCAAGCCCTGCCCACAGAGGTCCTTGAGGGGTGGGGGTGGGACGCAGCCTGGGAAGGCCGCCTGCAGACAAGGGTCTAGGGAAGGGCACGGACAAGGGGCCAAGTTCTGGTTTTGCCTCAGGCCAGCCCTGTTTCCAGAATTCCTTCTCCGGGTCTTTACATTTCTCTCCTTTTCCAATCAAATTCTGCCTCCAGTCAGAGCTATTCAAGTAAGTTATTCAGATAATCAAGGTTAAAAATATCCACCTTTCACCAGGAAGATCAGAATAATGACGTCCAGAGTTGCCGCGCTGGCCCCAGTTAAGCCCTGCTCCCCGGGGTCTGGTCGGGCCCCCAGCTCATTCTCCCTCGTTTGTCTAGAGACCAGAGCCAGAGTTCTCTGTCTCTGAGGGTCACCACCCTCTCTCCCGGCCTCCTCTGCAGCTCCCCCTCACCCCCTCCCTCCATCTCCCCCGACTTGCTGGCGGCACCTCCTCACCCCTACCCCCCTCCAGGGTTTTCTCTCCCCTCTGGCCCCTGACTCAAAAGTTCCTTAGAAAGTGCACAGAGGGGCTTTCCTGCTCTATCTGATGCCCTCACATCTCCCTGGTTGCACACTGCTGGACATCATCCCCGTTGGACTTGCCTGGCCCTTCTATTGCCCTCCTAGGACTGTGGCTCCAAGGGGTCAGGTTGGCCGGACGCATAGCCATCAGGAAGCAGCCTTCCAGAGCAATCCAGGGCCCTGTCACTGGGCCCTGTCACTGGGCCCTCCGTGGGTCTCTCTGGGAGTCGGTGTGTGTTCACTCCCACCTGTGTCTTTGGGAGGCTGGGCTGCGCAGTGTGCACGGCAGGGGGTGGGGGTAAGGGAATAACATGTCTGTTGGCAGAGTCCTGCCCTCTCAGACCTTTAGCAAGAGCCCAGCCTGCTCAAACACAGCTGGAAGGAACCAGCTTGCTCCCGGGCCGGTCACACCAGGTCTTGCCCCTGAACCTGCTGAGTTTCAGAAACAGGAGCGGCTGGGGCTGCACCTCGGTCCTGTGTTCCCCCCACCATGTCCAGCTCAGCACTCAGCCGGCTTCTGAGCACAGACCCTTGCCCTCATCCCTGGATACTCCTTGTCGAGCTGGGAGAGTTCCTCTCATGTGTCGACCTGCCTACACTATGGGACCCAGATTTGGGGCAAACACCTGTTTAGATGCTGCTATGAAGGTATTTCTAGATCAGATTAATATTCACATTAGGAGAGTATGAGTACAGAAGGTTACCCTCTATAAAGGGGGTGGACATCATCCAATCAGTTCGAGGTCTTAATAGAAACAATATCGAAGTACCTAGCGGAACAGGGAACTCTTCCAGCTGATGGTCTTCAGACTCTAACTGCAACATCAGCTCCTCCTTGGTCTCAAGCCAGGCTGCCCTGCAGGTTTTGGATTTGTCAGCCCCACAACGGCATGAGTCAATGTCTTAAGATTAATCTCTCTATAACTATCTTTCTTAAAAAGCTGGAAATAGAACTGCCATATGACCCAGCAATCCCACTTCTGGGCATACACACTGAGGAAACCAGATCTGAAAGAGACACGTGCACCCCAATGTTCATCGCAGCACTGTTTATAATAGCCAAGACATGGAAGCAACCTAGATGCCCATCAGCAGATGAATGGATGAGGAAGCTGTGGTACATTTACACCATGGAATATTACTCAGCCATTAAAAAGAATTCATTTGAATCAGTTCTAATGAGATGGATGAAACTGGAGCCCATTATACAGAGCGAAGTAAGCCAGAAAGATAAAGACCATGACAGTATACTAACACATATATATGGAATTTAGAAAGATGGTAACGATAACCCTATATGCAAAACAGAAAAAGAGACTCCGATGTATAGAACAGACTTGTGGACTCTGGGAGAAGGCGAGGGTGGGATGTTTCAAGAGAACAGCATCGAAACACGTATATTATCTAGGGTGAAACAGATCACCAGCCCAGGTTGGGTGCATGAGACAAGTGCTCGGGCCTGGTGCACTGGGAAGACCCAGAGGGATCGGGTGGAGAGGGAGGTGGCGGGGGGACCGGGATGGGGAATACATGTAAATCCATGGCTAATTCATTTCAATGTATGGCAAAAACCACTGCAATGATGTAAAGTAATTAGCCTCCAACTAATAAAAATAAATGAAAAATAAAAAGAAAAAAAAAGAGAAAAAAAAAAAACTATCTGTCTATCTTTCTTTCTACTTACCTATCATCTACTGGTCTATCATCTATTATTTCTATCTATCCATCTACCATCTATTATTTCTATTGATCATCTATCTATCCATCATCTATCAGGAGGTAATAATTTAACATGCACACACATCCTCTTTGAGAACCTGTTTCAGATCCACCATCTGAAGTGTCCACAGAGCCCCAGGGGACAAACCCAGAGATGAGGCAAACAGATGGGGACTGTTTTCTTCATCAGTTTGAAGAGGGATTAGACACTGTCACTTAAGGATCTGAGCAGATGGGGTCTGGGGATGCATTTTGTCTTCCTGACAGTGTTGTGCTATATCTAAGGGCAGTGAGGTCAGGACTGTGTTATCACAAATTCGCAGCCAGAGGTATGTCTTGTATGTCATTTTCCACACCAAGCTTAAAGACTTCATTTATCTCAAAAGTCCGCTGATTGCTCGCTTTCCTTCCAGGGGAAACCATCAGTACCTGTTCTAGTGTCCTGCGGAATCCCGCCAAGTCAAAGCCCTTTGCGGAGTTCTCTTTGTCGAGTCATAATTTTCCAGGAGAAGGGCAGGAGAGGCAGGATCCAGTCTCCATCAGAAGTGTGGGTAGGCTTCTGTGCATCCTCATGTCTCCACCTGTCAAATGGGCACATGCTGGCCCCGTCATCAGGGGAGCACGAGGATCAGCTGCGGAGACACACAAGTGACACAGAATGTCCTCCTTCCTCCTACCTGCTCTCTCTCTTTTCTTTGAGATGTTTTCTGATTGGAACCACGTTTAAAGTCTTTACTGAATTTGTTACAACATTGCTTCTGTTTTATGTTTTTTGGTATTTTCTGGCCACGGGGCATGTAGGATCTTAGGTCCCCAACCAGGGATCAAACCCACACCCCTTGCCTTAACCACTGGACTGCCAGGGAAGTCCCACTGTTCTCTTTTCACTGCGTGCTTTCAAGGGGTGAACAAGACTCCTCCAGGACTAACCTGGTAACTAGCAACTAACATAATGCATCGATTTAAGCTAAGATGTAGGACTTTTAGGGCAGTGGGTTTAATATGTTCTCCTTCCCTGTTCCCCCACCTTGTCAGTGCCCAAGTCATTCTAGACTCCCCACAAGGTTTGGAAGTGGGTGGCAATAATCCTGTTCACATTGAAAAAAGAAACCATGGACGGCTGTGGCAAGACCCAAGGGGAAATGTTTTTAAGGGAAATGGGGGCTCTCTGTACCCCTCTAACTACGCCTTGTAGGTCAAGGGCCAAGAGACTTGGGTGCTAATCCCACCTCTACACCTAATCTTCTAAGTGAACTTGGACAGGTCACTAAACAGGTCTAGGCCTTAAAAGCTTAGTTCCCTTTTGGTAAGTTGGAGATGCTACTACGACTACGACTACACACACACACACACACACACACACACACACACACTATTTTTTGACACCAGCATTTTACCCATGTGTTTAGGATAACCTGCCTGGAGTCCCCTTATTAGCATATGGGGACTCATTAGCATACAGACTTCTCAGCCTCATCTTGAGCTTGATTTAGATGTTCTGTATTTTAACAAGTGTTCCAAGTGATTCCCATATTTTGTCCTGATCATTCATGTTTATGTGATTCCATGGAGATGATGAAATACCATCTAAATCTGACTCTACTGGACCAGTGAAGCATTGTTCGCATGCAGGCCACCTCTTCTTTTTTTCTTTTGAAATTCAAAATGTAAATACTTTCATTTCAGCCTGTGGGGAAAATTGTGTTTTACACGATTTGCTCCTTTGAGTAGAAGAATGAGGATTGACTCATTGAATGAAGATGAGGAGACATCTCCGCTGTTCTCTGTGTCCACACCATTTTCAAGGTGACATTGTGGCCCCTTCATCAGAAAGTTGAGTTTATTTCTGACCCCCTGGAATCTAGGCTACTTCGTGACTTGCTTTGGCCAAGAGGATGCAGGGAAAATGCTGTGTTCCGCACCACCCCTCCCCTTCCCAGCTAAGGCCTGAAGAGGTCCTGCCCAATTCTATCCCCTGGGCTCCCTGCCCCAGCCCTGTGACCTGGTCCAAGCTGGCTCACAGGAGAGAGAGCCCAGCTGACTCAACCATGGATGTTCTAGAAGTTTACAGCCAGAAGGCAGCTAAGCCCCCAACAAACAGGGCAGTGCCATCAAGATCAGCAGAGCTGCCTACTGGACCTATGACTGGCTGCAGATGCCTGCACTATGCTGTGTGTGTGTCCAGTCCTGTCTGACTCTTTGTGACCCCATGGACTGTAGCCCGCCAGGCTCCTTAGTCCATGGGATTCTCCAGGCAAGAGTACTGGAGTGGGTTGCCATGCCCTCCTCCAGGGATCCGTCTGACCCAGGGATTGAACCCACATCTCCCATGTCTCCTGCATTGCAGGCAGATTCTTCACCACTAGCACTACCTGGGAAGCCCCTGCAAATGCCTACTCAGTCAAAAGAGCTGCCTTACTGATCTGAAAACTGTTGATTTAAAATATTTACTATGATTCAGGTATGGTGAAGCCAACAGATGTGGAGATGACTGCCACTGAAAAGACAATATTTTATACTCACAGATCCCAAGAGAAGGGGCACACCACACCATGGTGGGACCACACAGGGAAACACCAGGATCAGTCAGGAGTGGGGGCATGTGGGCAAGAGCCTTTATTGCAGTTTCCATGGAAGGAACAATTGAAGAAACAAATTAGGATATGCTCATTTGAATAACTTCAGAGGGCCCTGGGGCATTAGGGGTGTCCCTACATGTCTGGTACTTGGCCCTGGGGTGCTAAGGGCAGAGGACAGTGGCCAAAATGTGGGAGCCCCATAAAGACAGTGGTGAGGATGTGGGCTCTGCATTGGTTGATTTGCATCGGAAATGTGTGCATGCAAGTAAGTCATTTTACTGTCTGTAGGAATTAGCCATCTTGGGAGGGGCAGTCCTTCCAGGGTCAGCAAAGAGGCCCTAGACATCAAAGCATCAGTCAATAAAAGGCATGGATAGTTTAGCTGTGAGCAACAGTTAATCAATAACTCTTTGCCAGGGGTTCCCCAACCTCCGGGCTATGGACTGGTACCTCCTGTCAGATCAGCTGCAGCATTAGATTAGAAATAAAGTGCATGATAAATTTAATGTGCTCGAATTGTCCCCAAACCATTGCCCCACCTCAGTCCATGGAAAACTTGTCTTCCACAAAACCAATCCCTGGTGCCGAAAAGCCTGGGGTCCTCAGGGGAGGTGGCAGTGTGTGTGTGTGGGGGGGTTTACCCACAGATTTCAGCCCTGGTCAGGGACACAGAAGGAGCCATGTGTGGTGATGGGAGAAAAGCATATTCAACATTATAGAAACAGTATTATAAAGTAGCTTCTAAAAGAGATTAGTCCTTGCAGTGTAAACTACCCGAAGTAGAGTTCCACAGTGAGTTATTTGGGCAAAGGGAATAGGCAAACGTATAGTGATTTTTAGCTGGGGACCTTTCAGGATTTGAGGGTGGGGTGGGAACAGGGTGAGATTCCCAGATTCACCAGAAGGGGTCTGGGTTATAAGAGTCTAAAAGTTCCATCCTGGATACCTGTGTCCCTGTCATAGCAATGTTTGAATGGTCTCTCTATGGGGACAGAGGGACGTTTTAACAATAGAAATAACAACTGCATCAGAAATAGCCTGCAGTTTCTGTGAGTCACAGCTCCTGCCTTAGTAACATCCTTGAATTGCTCTAAAATCCATTAAAAATCACTTCTGTGGATTCCTCGTTAATAAAACTATATTTCAAGGTAATATATTTAATGGAACTGAAATAGCAAACCTGGTAAAAATTAATCAGGTCCCTGGACATTCCGGACATCCCCCGGACATCTCTGAAATGGATGCATCAGGCAAATCACACATGCGTCTAAATAGGAAAAAACTCAATCTCCTCTGTAGGGAAAACCCCAGTTTTCCACGTCCTCCTATGTTTCTCTTTCTGCAAGTCTTTACTGCTCACACAAGACATCCACGACACTTCTGAGTTGGGGGGGCCTCCCCGCACTGGGGAAGTTAGTTCTCTGTGACAGCAGCTGGGGGCCGTACTATTTAACTTAATCCTGACTCTGTCTCCCTAGAGACCTAGAATCCACCTGCAATGCAGGAGACATGGGAAACGCAGTTCAATCTCTGGGTCAGGAAGATTGGAGGTGGAAATGGCAACCCACTTCAGTATTCTTGCCTGATAGAGGTGAAAGTGAAAGTCGTTCTGTCATGTCTGACTCTTTGCGACCCCATGGACAATACAGTCCATGGAATTCTCCTGTCCCAGGGATCAAACTCAGGTTTCCCACATTGCAGGCGGATTCTTTACCAGCTGAGCCACCAGGTAAGGCCAAGAATACTGGAGTGGGTAGCCTATCCCTTCTCCAGTGAATCTTCTCAACCCAGGAATCTAACCAGGGTCTCCTGCATTGCAGGCAGATTCTTTGCCAGCTGGAATATGATAAAGGACACAGGGGAAGAGCCAGATGAAGAGATACATGGGGAGAGGTTTGAGGGAGAGTTGGGGAAGGTCACCCTCCTAGTGTGGATGTTTTCACCCACCTGGAAGCTCTCTGAACCCTCTTCTGCTGGGACTTTATGAAAGCTTCCTCACGGGGGCATGATGGATCATTAACTCCATTTCCACCCCCTCCTCTCTCTGGAGGATGAGGCGGGGCTGAAAATTCCAAGTTTCTAATCATGGCTTGGTCTTTCCAGCCCCCTTTTGGGAGCCCACTCAGAGGTGCCTTGTTAAAACAAAAGATGCTCTTAGTGTTCTTACCACTTAGGAAATTACAAGAATGTTAGGTGCTCCGTGCCAGGAGCTGGGGGCAGAGACAAATATATATTTTCTATCACCTCCCAGCATCTCACCCAGCTCCCACACAGCACTCCAGGAACAGGAGTTAACACTGCTTCCCAGGGAGCCGCACAGATGCTAGAGAGGCTCAGGCAGTGGCAAGGGGCCTCTGGCTTTCCCACCACCAGTTGGGAAGCACTTCCCCAGGCGTGCGGGCTTCACATTGTTGACCCAAAGTGTTAGCTGAGATCCAGTCTGTGGGTCACATCTGCAGGAGTAGCAAGGAGTGATGGGGGTGGTGTCCGGGGAGGGAGGAGTAACTGCTGAGCAAACAGAAGGAAAAGCATAAATGGGCCAAACGGGGCTTCCAACGAGGGCTTCCCCGGTGGCTCAGGGGTAAAGAATCTGCCTGCAATGCAGGAGATGCGGGTTCGATCCCAGGGTCTAGAAAATTCACTGGAGGAGGAGAGCATGGCAACCCACTCCAGTATTCTTGCCTGGAGAATCCCATGGACAGAGGAGCCTGATGGGCTACAGCCCCATAGGGTCAGAAAGAGTCGGACACAACTGCGCGCGCGCGCGCACACACACACACACACACACACACACACACACACACACACACGCTGCTTCTGGGAGGCAGGAGCAGGGAGGGCAGACAGCCAGTGCCTATGACTCCTGATAAGTGTTTCTACCAGTGAAAATGGCAGACACCCGGAGGGTGAAGCTTCCAGGCTGGGGCAGGAGGGACAAGCAGAATGCATCCAGAACTGGGGTCTGTGTGTCAAGAAGATGGTCTTGGAGTGGTCGGCTTCTTTGGGGCCTGTGTTGCTGTTTCAGGGGAAGTCCAGTTCCGTGGCATGGCTTGGGGACAAGGAGGCTGCACTCTGCGCCAATGGCGCTGGCATGACGGTGCAGGGCCCCTTCCGTCCCTGGGCCCTGTCAGTCCAAACCCTACAGCGAAGTTCAAGTGGCCTGTCTACTCAGAGAAGCAAGGGGTAAGAATGTGGGGGTCATCCACAGGTGAGTGTGTGAAAGAAAGAGCGCACCCCACAGGGTGCCCACTCTCTGTGCCTCATCCTGGGGTTAGGGACAGACAATTTCCTACCACCGAACTTCTAGACAGCTTGCCCTCAACGAGGAGTTCACCCCCAAAGTGACTTATCTTCCTGAGTCTGCATGGCTCAGGCGATTTCTAGCATCTGCCAGTGTCCCTAGAGTTGGCCTGACACGTTGCCTTCTATAGCAAGAAGAGCTGGAGTGTGCTCCAAGAGCCCCCATGAGCCCTCCCTGAGGTTGGTGGATGGCTTTCTGCTCTGACCATATGGAAAAAGATGACCTTCCTAGGATCAGGTTTTCAGAGTCAATTACAGTTGGAAAGAGGAAAGGAAAAGAAGTTAGAAGACTGGACGCAGTAGCAAGGCATGAGATTCATCTGTGCACCAGATGTCAGTCAAGTGCAAACCATGAGCCAGGCACCATTCTAGGTCTTGGAATTTGAAACTGGATTCAAATCTACATTAAAATGGGCCAACACAGATGATTCGTATGTTTCTGCAGATTTTGAAGACTCCACCGGGGGTGGGGGTGGACCTGGGGTAGGCGCAGTGGTCCTAGACACCTGACTGTGTCCTAGAGCCGACTCACTGGAAAAGACCCTGATGCTGGGAGGGATTGAGGGCAGGAGGAGAAGGGGGAGACACAGGATGAGATGGTTGGATGGCCTCACCAACTCAAAGGACATGAGTTTGAGCAAACTCCAGGAGATGGTGAAGGACAGGGAAACCTGGCGTCCTGCAGTCCCTACGGTCTCAAATAATCGGGCATGACTCAGCGACTGAACAACAAACTGACTTTGTCACTTGGAACACCCTACGTGGCTTTGTCCAGAAGCACCCAGAGATAGGCCTGTGCCATCTGCTGTCAGACCAGAAAGACATTTGGTGGGCGCTCCGAGAAACTTTCTCCATTGTGGAAGGAGAGCGCTGTTTACGGATTTCTGGAGGAGGGGCTGTTGTCTGCTTCTCTGTGCTTGCCCTGCTCAGAAAAATGCTCAGATTCTTTTTAAGGCATCGCACACAGGATCATTCTATTGCAAGCGGTGCATATGTATCTGTTTAATTTTAACTCAAGCTCTTTACCAAAAGGCAAGTTCATTTACTCGGAGCCTAGACAGAAGGCTTTCCCAGTCCTGACACCTTGCTTATTTGCTACTTAAAGACTTTGGGAAGAAAAGAACAGATTTTTGCATTTTGTTCTCTTTCTTACTTCAGGAGGAAAAAAAAAAAATTTTTTTTAAACCCACACAACTGTCCTAATTGGAAGAGATTCTTGATCTGTTTCATGGCAGCCTGTTTATGGCTGGTCAGTGTCCAGAGCAAAAACTTGGCCCCTAGTCCTGCCGAGGCAGCTCTCCAAACATTCCAACTTTGTTCCAGGGCTGCTGGGGCTGCACACAGCCCGGAAATCCCCGCGCAGGGCCCCAGGTGACGTGCGGGGGCCTGGCCTCCCCTCCCGGGCCTGTCCTCAGCTCCCCTTTGGGCCCACCCAGCCCGCTGTCATGTCAGCATGCCCGTTCCCTTCCAGCAGCTCATCCAGCCTTCTCTCTCAGCACAGGGCTGGCCCATCCTCTGCGTGTGGCCCTGGGGACTGGGTCATTCTGATGCTAGACTCAGTCGGAGCCATTAGTGTGGTGTGTGCACCCAGGACAACACCAGCCTGCACAGAGAATCCTGGGTTAAGGCCTTACATGCTAGGAAGGTACCTGCTGAAGGCAAAAGACGGGGCTGGAGCAGAGCCAAACATGCGGTGTGAGGGTGGGTGCGAGAAACAGTTCTCTCTACAGACTCATCGTGACCATGTGAAGTCAGCAGGAAGGATGACCGTGAGGTTGGTGGGGGTGAGAGAAGCCACTCAGGCAGTGTGCAGTCCTGGTGGGGATTCTTAATGCAGGAGAGCACAGCAGGATCCCAGAGATGGTCCAGACGGGATGGTACACCAAAGCCTGCCTATGTGTTCTGTCTGTGTATCCCTAGTTGATATTGAAGGCTTTTTAGATTACACGTATGTTCTCTACTTTGCTACAGCTCCTGGCACTCCTGGTTGTCCCCACTGACCCTCCTCCCCACTAATGTACATCACCACATTACCTGCCAGAACAGGGATGCAGGAGCCAGAGATGGGAAAGCAAAGTGATGGACTAAGACCCAACCCTCATCACACCCCACGCTCACCTGGCTAAATGCCTCGGGGAGGAGAGTATGGAAACTTAGCATCGATGCCCCCAAATTATCAGATTTGGAAACAAGCATAGTGGTGGTGCTTCCTTCTCCTTATGGAAATCAAACACACCTTCAAGGAGCTTCATTTGCCCTGAAGCTTAGAGGTAGATAAACAGTCTGTAGACTCTAAAGCACACGTAAGGACTGCCAAGAGCAGAAACCTCACAGGAAGAGGTGCAGGAGACCGAGGGGCCCGTGGCAATGTGGCTTAGAAAGTGCAAGCAAAATTACACTCCCGAGAGGTGAGGTGCTCATCTGCCCATCTGCACGGCTGGTGAAGGACTGGAGGTCCTAGGATGGGTAGCAGGAGCCCTCATGGACCAGGTTTGATTCAGAGAAGCTGAGGAGGCATAACCCTCTAAAGAGTCACACAATGTTTTCAGGAATCAATTCATCTCTGTGAAAAGAAAAAGGGGGATCCTTTAGGATTAAGAAATCTAGAAGGCTGTTCTTGCCCCACCCTTGGTTAGAACCTCTCATAAAAGAGCTGTATCTAGAAAGTTCAACCCATATGCTCTACGTATAATAAAAAAAAGAAACAGAATAGCTTTGATAAAACGTGAGACATAGAGAGCAGCAAATCATGTCAACAGAAAAACATGCACCAGGAAAACGCAGCCCGGAAGCCATCAAATCATGATCAAACATTTCACCATGAATTGGAAGCAAAACAGAACCAAAAACCCCTAGCAAAACAATTTTCTCTCTGAAGGAAAACCACAAAGCACAAAAGCAGGAACTCAAATAAAAGATGACAACACAATGGGAGGGGATAAGGTAGGAGCAGCAGACTCAGGAAAGAAGCAGGGAAAAAATGAGCCATAACACGGGTGAAGACAAAACTGGAGGAGAAAAGGGGATCAGAGTCAGTGTGAGAAACACTGCAAGGGAAGCAAAAGACAGAAACGTGAGATGCAAACTAAATGAAATAGGGAAAAGGAGTTTAAAAGGCTTGAGAGAAAATGAAGGAATGGCAGGAATTCAAAGGAAAACCAACATATGCCAAATTGGAGTTCCCTGAAGCAATCAAAACAATGCAGTGCAGCAAGTATTTTAAAATATAACTCAAATCATTTCCTAAAATAAAACAAGACTTAGGACTTCCATGGTGGTCCAGTGGCTAAGACTCTGGGCTCCTAGTGCAGGCGGCCCAGGTTCAATCCCTGGTCAGGGAATTAGATCCCACATGCCTCGGAGCAACTAAGGTTCCCGAATGCCACAATGAAGATCAAAGATCCTGAGTGCCACAGCTAAGATCCAGCACAACCAAATAAATAATTTTTTTTTAAAAAAAAGACTTAAATGTACTTATTGAATGTTCACACTACTTACTAGAGCAACCTGATTCAGGAAGTTACCCCATGAGACACATTTACTCAAGTTACTGGACTTAAAGAAAGTATCCTTTGGGCAGTAAAGCATAAAAAAATCAAGTCACTTACAAAGAGAAAAAAGGAAAAAAACAGGTTGAACTCAGATTTCACTAAAGCAGCATTTCATGTTAGGAGAGAATAGAACAACATTTAGACTGTATTTAAGGGAAGTGTAAACCAGAAAGTTTCTATTATCCAAGCAGTTCAACAATTATAAACTTTATAGCAAACTGTTTGAAAATGCAAGAACCCAGAAATTATTGTTCCCATGAGCCCTTCTTTGGAAAAAACACAGGAAATTAATTTGGACCAACTGAGAGTCAACTATGGTAACTTTGGCCTGAAGTCTCACTGTAAACACTGATTATATTGAGTTTATATCTAAGAGTGAATATGTTAATAATGTGGGGATTAGAGTAACAACACAGACTCTAAAGGTCACGTGCAATGTAGAAAAAGCACAACTAACAAAAATTTGGATGGGAAAGAGGTAAAGATGGCACGAACTTCATAACTGCTGCATCTTATAGAATTTAGAGCTAAAGAATCAAAGAGTAGACACATAAATATTTTTAAGAGTCCAAAGTAAAAACTAATAGATATTGTTACTGAGTAAAGTCAGGAGAAGAGGAGAGGTAGAAGGAAGGAAAGAAAAGACATACTAATTTTATTATTGCTCAATACTGTTTAAAAAGCAGACAATCAAGGGGGTTATATGCTGCTGCTGCTGCCGCTAAGTCGCTTCAGTCGTGTCCGACTCTGTGCGAACCCAAAGACGGCAGCCCACCAGGCTCCTCCGTCCATGCGATTTCCTAGGCAAGAGGACTGGAGTGGGTTGCCATTGCCTTCTCCGTTATACGATGATGTAAAGAATCACTAGAGGACGTCCCTGGTGGCACAGTATATAAGAAACCGTCTGCTGGTGCAGGAGACACTGGTTCGATGCCTGGTCCGGGAAGACCCCACATGCCTCGGGGCAACTAAGCCCATGCGCCAGGACTCCTGAGCGCACGTGCCTGGAGCCCGCGCTCTGCAGCGAGAGAAGCCAGGGCAGCGAGGAGCGTGCGCGCCACGGCGGAGGATGACGCCCGACGCCACAACTGGAGAAAGCCCGAGCAGCAGCGAAGACCAGGGAAACCAGAAACAGAGGAACGATTTTAAAAGACAGTCCACAGAACAATCTCTGACTCTGCAAACCTGCCTAGAGACCAGACCTTCTCTTGAGGCCCTTTCCCTTTCCCTCCCCGCCCCACCTCCTCTTCTCCTCGTTTTTCCTCTCCCTGGCCCCTCCCCCAGGAAACCCGTAGACTTTACATGGAAATCTTTTGAAGCCATATATTCGGGGAACAAACTAATATGACAGATATAAAACTCTTCTATCACATCAACAAACAAATGGGATTAACTCACATAAATGGAATTACATCATGAAGCACAACCCAATTTTACGCTGTTGGAAAGCAACTAGAAGTATCTAAAACAGTGAAGCAGAAAGGTTCAGATGAAGAGGATGGGCACGGTGTACCGGGCAAGAGCAAACCAAAAGAGAGCAAGTGTCGTCCGTTTTCCTCCAAAGAAGTGAAAACTCAGGGCACAAACCATCACTCGGGACAGAGGAGGGGACGTTCTAACACTAAAGTGCACGTCACACATGAAGATGAGGAGCTGTCGAAGATCTCTGTGTTAAATCAAAGAGCGACCATGTCTGTGAGGCAGAGATCAGAGAAAGGGAGCCTGGGTTCCATCCCTGAGGCGGGAAGATCCCCCGGAGCAGGGCATGGCAACCCACCCCAGGATTCTTGCCTGGAGAGCCCCGTGGACGGAGGCGCCTGGCGGGCCGCAGCCCACGGGGTCACAGAGTCAGACACAGCTGACTACAGCACACAGTTAGAGAAAAGCTGAGGGAAAGAGAAACACGCTGTGGCAGGAAATCCTTCAACGCTGAGCTCACGCCAGAGTTTAGGTGGCAAAAATAAGTAAAAATTGAGAAAGCTGAGCTGACTGACATATGTCAAAATCTATCTCTGAAAAATGGACTCTTCTTTCCAAGAGTCGATCAAAATTCATGAAAACTGATCATGTAACAGACCACAGTGAAAAAGCTCAGCAACTTCCCAAAAGTAGAAACCATACTTAGCAAAATCCTCTGGTCGTGTGATCAGCCTCGACATGGATTACAAAACACAGCACCAGAAAAGAGTCTTCTACCTGAAATTTTTTTTTTAATCTGAAACTTTTAAAAAGACAAACAACTCTCTCCTCAGAACCTATCACATCAAAAAAGAAATGCATACATCACAGAAATTTTAGGAAGCACACAATTGAAAAAGTTACACAACAGAACCTGTGTGTTATAGCTGAAGTGGGGCTCAAAGGAAAATGTATGTTAAATATTTATGTCAATAAAAATAAAAAGAATGAAACTAATTACTTTAAACATTTAACTCAATTTTGAAAGAACCTGATTACGTTTAAACCCACTCTTCAATCTTCATGTGTTGTGTTAAAAATAGACTGATGAAAGTACAATCAATGTACAATAAATGGCACATATTTAAAATGTAAGGGACTTCCCTGAAGGTCCAGAGGCTAAGACTGTGCTCCCAATGCACGGGGCCTGGGTTCAACCCTTGGTCAGGGAGCTAGATCCTACATGCCGCAACTAAGAACTTGCATGCCTCAATCAAAGATTCTGTGTGCCACAACTAAGACTTGATTTAGCCAAATAAATAAATAAAAGGATTTTTAAATGTGAAATTTGGTGAGTAAGGGGCACATGTCACTGCCTGTGTAACCATCACCACAACCAAGATAATGAGCATGTCCATCACCCTTGAAAGTTTCTGATGTTCTTTGGTAATCACCCCCCTCTTCTGTCTCCACTCCTGTCCCCCCAGACACAGACTTAATTTCTGTCAATATAGATTTGTTTGCACATTCTAGAATCCTAAATAAATAGAATTACAAAGTATATATTCTTTTTTTTTCCCTAGCTTCTTTCACTCTGCCTAATTACTTTGATATTCACTGAACTGGTTACAGGCATAATGATACAATGTCTGGGATGTGTCTCAAACTCAGCTGGCTGGAGACAGCAGGTGGAGGTGAACTAAGATCTGCTACAAAGTGATGGTTATTGGCTCCTTATATGAATGTTTCAATTTTTCCTTAAGAAAAAGGTTTTAAAATTCTACTTCTTCTGCTCTGTCTTGCTTTTCTTGTGCCATTTAATGTTATACTGTATGTCTTGAATTCTTGTCTATTACTGTCATTCAAAGTAATTTCCCTTTTTGAAATTTTGAAGTTCAAACTTGATATCCTCAGCTTTCCAAACCAGTGAATCACATCTCTTCAAAACAAAATGAAACAAAACAAATCCTCCTCTTAAGTCTTTTAAACTGCCTGTTTCTGGACATCATGGTGCTCATGTCTAAGGAGGGGACGTGTGGAACAACTAGATGTGTTGTGGACACAGCGGACAAGATTGACATCTGATGGCCAAGACATCCTTCTGCAGGGAGGCATCTTCACAGGAGAATTCGGGGATCAGCCAGCCAACGTGGTGCTCTTGTTTCTCGGGGGAGGGAAGTATGAAGGACGATCACGGGTTACAGGCGATGTACACAGTTACTGTCAATCAAGTCCAGTGACTAGAAGAATGTAAACGATGAGCCATGATGTCCACACATTTTTTTCTCAATTAAAATGGTATTTTTAAATGTTAGAGAGATGTCCCTGATGGTCCAGTATCAATGACTTTGCACTTGCAATGAAGGGGGCCTGGATTCCGTCCCTGGTCAGAGAATTAGATCCCGCGTGCTGCAAGTGAGAGTTTGTATGCCACTAAAAGTTCGCATGCCAACTAAAAGATCCTGTATGCCTCAACAAATGTTGACGATCCCAAGTGCTGCAACTAAGGCCTGGCACAGCCAAATAGACAAATAAATACTTTAAAAAAAAAAGTTAGAAAAATCAAAACAACTGAAAGAATCAGATGAAAAAGCGCTCCAATTCTGAAAGGCGTTAGTGAGCACCTGCCTATTAGGGCGAGTGTCTGAGCGCGTCCTGTTACTCCAAGTGGCTCTCTATTGTTTCCTCTGGAAAAGCAGCCACCACACTTTCTTAAGGTCTTGCAAGTGTGACAGAGTCAGTTACTCCTGAGGGGCTGTCTCAGTGGAATAACCAGTGGGGTGGACAGTTACACTTGTGGCTCCAAGGGGTCCCTGTCCCCACTCCCCGCCAGGACTGTCCACGGCATCTCTGGGCTTGGCCATGTGACTTGCTTTGGGCAAAGGGTCTCAGCGAGAGATACGAAAGCAGAGGCTTGCAGAGTGGGGCTGATCTTCTTGGAAGTCTTGCCCTGGGAGCCAGCCGCTATGCTGTGAGGATGCTCAAGCAGCTACGTGGAAAGACCACGTGGATTAAACCAGAGAGCCCAGCCTTCCAGCCGCCAAGCAGAGCCAGGCTGGATGTTCCAGCCATCTGACTGCAGGCCTATGAGAGACCCCCATGCAAGACAAACAGAAGAAACTTCTGCAGGCCCAGTCAACCCTCTGAATCATAAGAAATCATAAATGTTTATTTTCAGCCAATATATCTGAGTGGTTTCTCTCATACAGCAGGAGGTCACCGAGAGGATCCACATATATGTGACCGTGCAGGTCTCTGGGTGGGGGTGGGAGGCCACTGAAATTCGCAGGTGAGGCGCAGCTTAAGAGAATTAGTCCTGAGAACAACACTTCTACAACTATTGACATAATGATTTGCTCTTAGCACAGGGTCAGATTTACAACAGCCCTCTCACACATAGGTGGTGCTAAAGAACCCACCTACCTATACGGGACATGCAAGAGACGTGGGTTTGATCCCTGGGTTGGGGAGATGCCCTGGAGGAGGAAATGTCAGCTCACTCCAATATTCTTGCCTGGCGAATCCCATGGGCAGAGAAGCCTGGCGGGCTACAGGGCATGACCCAGCAACTAAGACATTCCCTTTCTCACACATGATTTTCTGGAACACAGTTATGGTTGCACAGGAGATGGCACTCCCAGAGGTGCATGGAGGAGGTGACGCTGGAAAGGTCTGAGGATAACGGGCACTAACCTAATGGGTTAACACGATGGGCCTCGATTTCTCAGGAGAATGAGACACTACGGGGCAGTCGCCCCTGGCCTGCTCAGCCCACTTCCCAGAGCAATGAGAGTGGCTCATGCTACAGAGGCAAGAAACCCAGGGCCAGACGCGGAGGAGGCTGCGGAGGGGTCGGGAGCAGGACGTGAGGTCGGGGAGCAGGGCAGCCGATCGGGATGGGCCCCGAGAGCCCCACCAGGGACTGTTCAACAGCACACGCCACACCCATCACAGGGCCCCCCTCCACAGAAGGAAAAGGCAAGGAACGCAGGCATCCCCGAAGCCCGGCCTTGTGGGGCACTGCGTCCCTCTCCCGACTACATCCTCTTCCCGATTCGTGAAATGACTCTAGCTCACTGCAGTGGGGCCAAACAGACCCCGCCCACCATTTCCTGGGCGTGGGCGCTGCGGGCAGATGCCAGGAGGAATTTAAAAGAAGCTGGCTATTTTGGGTGTTAGAACTTGCCAGAATGCCAAGGCAGCAATATGTCTGCCTGAGCGAAATTCCTGCTCTCCAGACATGGAGCTGATCTGGGGCTCTCGGCTAGTAACTGCCTCTCCGGGCTCCTCTGGGGGGTCATTGTGTGGCAACCTCCTTTCCACGCCCCCCCCCCCCTCCCCACTTCAGCGCCGGGCTCCTGCTCTGACCCCGGGCAGCCACCAGCCAGGCCCAAGTTCAAGTGTATCTCCAAGTGCTCTCACCTCACCAGCTAGTGAGAGGGTGGGCAAGGACAGGAGGGTGTCGTCACAGCTGTGGGCAAGGCTGACGTTTGCCAAGAAGGTTCCAGATGGATGAGCTCTGTCCCTCGTTAACTGGCTCAGGAGTCAAAATAGAAAACCCTGGAAGAGTGGCCAAGGGGGTCAGCCCGGGCCGGTGCCTCCCACTGACCAGTGCACATCGGGAAAAGGAGGTCACTCGGAAAAGAAGGGGAAGCTATTTTGGGGGAAAGAAAAGGCAAAACGGATGTTAGCAGACAAGCCAGGACAGAGCTCCAGTAATATGTCCGTGCGTGTGTATATTTCATTTTATGGAGCTTCGCGGAGCTGGAGGCAAAGCCCTATTTTTAGGGTCTATTGTGTGAGGCGGTGGCAGGGCTGTGCGGAGCTGCAGTTTTGTTCTGACAATGATTCCATTTTAAATAGGGAAAGAAGGTAATGAGGGCAAAAATAATAACTATTTTCAGGCTTCAGAATTCAGGGTGTTTGACACCGGGTTTTCTAAAATGCCAAGCCTAGTGGAAGAACCATTTTCCCTTCCCGCCTTTCAGCTCTGGCCTCCTAACACATGACACTGCCAGAGAGGCCAGGTGGCAGTCTTGTCTCCTCTGTGCACCTGGCTCAGGGCCCAGCTGTCTGATCTCCAGCATTTAACATGGGAGGGGAGCGAGGAGGAGAGGCAACCCACCGCACCCCAGGGTGATGCTCACACTGTGCACCTTGGGATGCCTTGGGGGGCTGTATGAAATGCAGATTCCTGGCCCCAGCCCCACCGAGGGCCTGACTCCACTGCTCCGGGAGAGGTCTGGGAATCCAGATCAGGGTTTGGTCTTTTTTTTTTTTCAAACCAAGCATCTCCACGGACTGGGTATGGACAGTCCCTGGACCCCATTTCAAGAAACCTCCCCGTAAAGCCAGTGCCTAGAAATTATATTCTGCAAATGTGGAGTCTGCGGTTTTGGGACCGAGAAGGCACAGACCATGGGATTGGATAAGGCTTGGAGGGGCAGGGGCAAGACCTCTGTGATATGGTGATTTATAATAAGATATATAGATTTGTCCCCTTCCTGTCATGGAACTTCTGAGACTGACAAAGGTGTCTTTTGCTATGTTAATAAGGTGACTTCTGGAAGTACCCTGGGAGAGAAGCTGGTTGTTATTGGAACCAGCCGTGTGATTGGAGAGTTGGAATGTGTGTGTTTTGGTTGGTTAGTCGTATCCAGGTGTGGAAAGTTTCTGAGTTGGTGAACACATGGAGCTGGGAATTGAACTCAGGACCATTTGATGCCAGAATCAAGGTGACAGAACAGCTCAGCCTCCAGGACCTGCTGACCACACGGCTTCCCTCTTTCCCGGTCACCCATTGGAGTGTGGCTGACCACCACCTCCTTCTTATTCTTTTGACTGAAAGGATGACCCCTCCCTCATTCTGAAGCATCCAGAGGAACACTGATTGTGGTGCCCACATCTTCCAGCAGTTTATGAATTGGACAAAAAAACGTCTTCGATTCTGCCTGATGCAAGCTATAGCTGGTCAGCCAGCTACACGCCCAGCACAGAACCCTTCAGGTCCTGAAGGGATCCACTCACAAACAAAACACCTATGGAAGGTGTTCTGGAGGGTTTTAACATTTTCATGGCAACCATATTTCACAGAACAGGAAAAAGAGTCACTAGGAAATCAGTGAGAACCTCGAGGGAGCTGCAGGTTTAGAGAATTCCTCTCTGCCCCAATTCTCAATTCTTTCTTCATGGTCATAAGGTTTAAAAGTCTCCCCCAAAGAAAAGATCAGGCCTTCAGGAACTGCTCACACCACACAAAAGAGCGAGGCTTGCTTGGGCAAGCCCCAGAGGTCTCCTCTCTCCCCTAACCCCTTCCCCTGCCCCCAGGATCTTTCTCTAGCGCCCCCCCCCACCCCACCCCAAGCCCTTCTCCCTCTTCCTGGTCTATCCTTCTTTGATCCCACAGCAGCTCTTATTATTTCTAAACTATATCATGTACTTCTGTGATTCTGCCTTCCTGCTGTGACATTAAGACAGAGCTTTAATGGGAATATAAACACCATTCTAAAACCCTTTTGCAGGCTTGCAGGCATTCAACCCCTACATTCTGCCGTGTATTAATACTTGTCTCTCTACAAATAAACAGATTGTGCAGCAACAAGTAGGGTGAGAAAATGGATTTCCTTTGCTGGGGCAGTGGTTCTTGCTGGAGGCCCTGTGACTTGTAACCCAGAGATATTTTCATCCTCCTTCCCGCCCTGACATCAACAAGAAAACCAGAGCAAAATTCAAATCATGCCTTTTGTCATGAGGTCTCAGAACAGATGTGTCACCCATGCTGAAGGCACGCTGGCCATCACCACTGACACCCTGGAGTGGCAAAGTCAAAATGGAATAACTGGGTGTCCAGAAACAGGTGGACAGAGGCAAGGGTGCCGGAAAGGGTTCGGATGATCAAGCTGTTGATGCGTGTGGAAGAAGAGAAGAGGGCTGTATGACAGAGCTGGCACACAGCAGAGACAGCATTTCACCCAACCTTGCGTCGCTTTTGTGACTGGGACAATATTCAGAATAACGTGACGAATATCAATAATGACTTCTAGAAATTCCATGGCAGTACAGTGGATGGGAATCCGCCTGCCAATGCAGGGGACAGGGTTTCGATTCCTGATCCGGGGAGATCTCACACATCTAGGAGCACCAAAACCCCGTGCCCCACAACTACCGAGCCTGCACTCTAGGGCCCGTGAGCTGGAACTGCTTAAGCTTGTGCGCCTACAGCCTCTGCTCTGCAGCAAGAGAAGCCCTGCAATAGGAAGTCTGTGCACCTAGAGAGTAGCCCCTGCTCCCCCAAAACTAGAGAAACCCTGCATGCAGCAACAAAGACCCAATGCAACCAAAAAAATAAATAATTTTAAAAAAATAATTACTTAGAGAACAGAGTAGTTTGAAAACCCTTCACCATGGTCAATTCCGCCCCCCCGCCCCATAAAGGGTAGGGTCAGAATTTTGGTCTCATTTTGGCTGATCTGCATTGTGATTCATCTGTGCTTAGAAAGGCATATGGGTGACATTGTCACTAAACGTATCTATAGCCCCACGCAGCACACTGGTTTTGGAGATAGGAGAGAGGAGGGTGTGAGGTTCTTTCCTCTCCAGCTTTCATTTCACTGGAGGGGCATGTAGAAAAGTTCCATTTGAACAAGTTGAGCTGCAGGTGTATGAATGGTCCCCAGCCTCCAGGAGGATGTGTGCAGAGGGCAGGTAGAAACCTGGTGTCCGGAGCTCAAGTGGTTTTGAGAAGTGAGACTCTGATTGGGATTCAAGCTGCAAGAGGGGGAAGCTCTCTGGTCCAGGCTGTAGAGACAGGAGGTGAGAGGCGTATGGGACATAGGGATGGGAGTGCCCTGAGCAGACTAGTCTGAGGATAAGGGGAGAGCTGTTGGGAAAAAGGAAAGCAGAAGCGGGGTACCTGGAGCTGCAAGAGAAAGAGGTCAGTCAAATGCTGCCAGGGATGTGAAAACGACGAAAACCCAGGAGCAAGCCCTGGGTCCGGGAGCTCAGGGTTGGGCATGATTTTGCTGCGGGTCAGAATTCAGGCTGCCTACTATACAGAGCGAAGTAAGTCAGAAAGAAAAACACCGACACAGTATATTAATGCATATATGTGGAATTTAGAAAGATGGTAACGATGACCCTGTGTGAGAGACAGCAAAAGAGACACAGATGTAAAGAACAAACTTTTGGACTCTGTGGGAGAAGGTGAGGGTGGGATGATTTGAGAGAACAGCACTGAAACATGTATATTATCATATGTGAAACAGATCGCCAGTCCAGGTTCAATGCATGAGACAGGGCGCTCAGGGCTGGTGCACTGGGATGACCCAGAGGGATGGGATGGGGAGGGAGGTGGGAGGGGGGTTCAGGATGGGGAACACATATACACCCATGGCTGATTCATGTCAGTGTATGGCAAAAACCACTATAATATTGTAAGGTAAACCAATTAAAATAAATAAAATTTTTAAAAAAGAAAAAGAATTCAGGCTGCCAAAGACAGAACAGGGAAGACTGCTGTTACAGGATATGTGTTGATGAGGGAAGGAGCGGGATGGCCCGCCGTCCTTTGGAAAGAAAACACTGAAAAACAGGTGGTTGTCCCTGGATGGGACAGTCTGGAATATACCACGGGGAAGGCAACGGAACCGAGGGGTGAGAAAGTCCGAGGTGCCAGAGGAGGGTGACAGCTGGAACACGGCCCTGCGGATGGGGTGTGTGGGTGTGTGGATGGAAGGGCTCAATGTGGATGGAGTAAAGTGAGGCTGGAGGACACAAATGATGAAGCACATCCCCCGATGTTAGCCATGGGACTCCTCTCGGATTCCACTGTCCTGTGGGCAAGTTTACATCTCTCCAGCCACTTGAATGAGCCCTGCTGCTGCCAGGCCTGCCGGTCCTGGCACAAGAACACCAACGTTGGGGATGACAACAATGTTCCCTCATGTTCCCAGAGCCCCCTGTCCCCAGGGGCCAGGAAGCCTGAGGTTCAGGCACTAGAAAAGGGAATGGGCCTCTCCCCCCATCTGTACCTCACTTGACCTGAAAACAGCTTTGAAACCTGTGGTGAGTGTTGCTAACAGAGGAACCTAGGCCCCTTCCCCCAAAGACGTGGACTACAGGAGCATATTTGTTCATTCTCAGAAGTCATGGCCCATGAGATGCCATGTTGCTGGCCTCTG